ATTCGACTCAACACAACAATTGGCACCCTTCATGATTGGTCATTGCAGTGGGTAATAAATGGATATCACACTATAAACAAGCCTGAGCTTGTAAAGCAGGTTTGTTTCTCATTTTCTCACACTGTCAAATCTTGATGCACAGAGCTAAATCATGTTTTCAAGGCATTTTTCATGTGTAAGGCTGGGGAGAATTTCAATCTCTCATTCACAAGCCTCACAAGTCAAGAGGTGTTGCAATATTTACATGATGTTCAGAAGAATAATCCAGCTGGATGGACAAGGATTGCTACTGCTCAGTACAAGACTGTCAGCGTCAACCAGGCAACAGACTCCAAGTCAGAGGACAAGGCCACTGATACTATTGGAGTTGAATCCCCCTTTGACAATGCTAGCAAGCATGACCTTGATGCCAGTGACATGTCAATGGATGCACTTCTTGATCATATGGCTTCCAGGGGTGAACGTGTCTGTTCTGACTGCCATATTGATGCAGATGGCAGACTTCTGTGTTCAAACCACTCCAAAGTCTATGATGTGGGTGACATTACTGCCAAAGATGTGGAGAGTGGCTCGAACAGTGTTCTGAAGGTTGATTATGGGCATGGAAAGCGTAGACACATCACAAATTCGATGTATGATGATTTCTGGTCCCATTAGCGTACAACCTATGTTTTTTTTTCCATATGTCACAAATTAGCTTCGTCCCACCAAAAATTTGTGTGACAGTCACACTAAATAGATTCGATTCGTTAAGGGCTGTGACCTGTGACGAACCTAGTGTCGTATCTCTACAGTAGATTCGACGCCGCTTCAGTATGCACACAGATTGTACAATAGCCTCTACACTACTTAGTAACTACGATAACTAGTACGTTCATTGTGACATACGAATACAAGTGAAGACAGCAGACCGCTAAACACCCAAAAATATTCCCGAGAAATACTTCTTCACGCCCTCTGCACCATGTACGATCGCGCCAATCACCCCGTCTGGCCGTATCACAAACACTTTCGTCTGACCAGCTTCCATGAGGTAAGCCGAATAAGCATGGCCCTCCTGATCGATAAGAACGAGGTCAGCAGGGGGTGCAACAGTAACGCCTGTTGCAGATGAAGGCAGAACGACTGCCGATCGCACAACGCTTCTGTCGTATCCCTCCAGCGCGCCCAAGATCGGGGTAGCACCTGCGAGACTCGGCGTGAACACGACCACTGTGTGATACAATGGTCTATAAAGACTAAAAAGTGTCCTCATGTCAGACTCTCCGCGCCCCACCTGCAACATATTTGGTGCATCAGGCGCCCTGTCTCCAGCCTCCAGATTCTCCTCGTCAAGCACCCCGTAGGCATTAATAGGCTTCCCCGGAATTGCAAATTCATCGAGGACGATGTTACTGAACCGACAATTGATACCAAGCATGAAAAGGATGGGGCCCCGTGGCGCGATCATGTTATGTGCCTTCATTGCCTGGTTGAGAATCGTGGTGGTCCTCTCAAGCACCTCGGAGATGACAGGCAAACGCTCGGCATTATACGTTTCAAGAAGAGACCTGTCGGCGAGTCCTTTTTCGACGAGTGCAAGTTTCCAACCTAGATTGAACTGGTGTACAATCAGTAGTGTCAGACATGCTGCATTTGCAAGACTTACAGCATCTTGTATACCTGAATTAAGTCCCTGTTCATGGATAAATGAATTGCATCAGCATTCGATTAGACCGCACACACCTGACCACCGGTTGGACTGTGAACACTGGAAATATATAGAATCAGTTTGGTAAGAAGGCACCCAAAGACAGACATACTGAGCAGCATCTATGCGGACTTCCATCAGCACAGGTACATCATTCATAAATAAAACAACATACCACCCACAACAAATCCTCGTCCCTCGCTAAGCTTGTTTACCATGCGGATATTGGCCCTAAAGTAAACCGATGAACATTGAAAACGCATCGACGTCACAAAATGAAACACACCTGTACTCGCTCACCCAGACAACTTTGTTGAACGTAACCACCGTTGGTAACAAGGATGCGATAATCTCCATGATTAACTCCTCGCTCTGAGCGAGCTTTGTCAGGTCAATATCGGGAGCAGAGATGACAAATTGCCAGCCATCCTCGCCAATTTCGTCTGTTGGACGTAACGAGAGGCTGCCCAGCGTCAATATACATGTCTCTCCAAGTCCCAAGAGCAGAAACTGGACATACCCTCGTTCCTTGAAGTTTCCAAATCGGTGCCAATACTTCCACGACGATATCAGGAGCGCTGCCTCGGAGTAAGTAGAAATCGGACTCACCGTTCTATCAAGACCAACGCCATGTAAACGTATATCTCCCATGACCATTCGGACATCGTCTCTAGTCTCGCCCAAGAATGTAAGCCCAAGCTGTTTACGCACGACGCCTATAAATCACAATTCAGACTCATCCTACTGCATTTGAAATTGCTTGCATCTGACCTTTAGCACCGTCAGCGCCGATCACCCACTTAGCATCGAAGGTCTCTAATGTGCCGTTCTTTGCCAGAACAGCCGTGACACCTTCGTCGGACTGCTCGAACGAACGCAGTTCGGTGCCCATCTCGACAGAGCACGAGAATTTTTCAAGGTGGCGTCGCAGAATCACATCTAGTAGTTGTTGGCCTATCAGCTTTGGAACATGCTACAATATAAAAACATCATCGGCGTGGCTGCTTGAGATGAGTGATTCTGTGTAGTACGTACGAATGGTACTGTAGGGGTAGCTTCCATATGCGGGACCATCGAAGGTTCCGTTAGAGGTTCCAACATCCCAGGCTTGTAGGTACGGATTGTGGGGACGGGTTTCCCCAGGTCGTTGACTTCTGGTACGTCCAGGAAGTTAAAGAGTTCGAGGGAGCGTGGCTAGATCATGCATTAAATGAGACTACAAGGCATCAGAGAAGCGGTATCATGACAAACCCAGATTCCAGGACCACGCTGTCCCATGCGAGGGTTGGGTTCTTTCTCAATGATGCGAACTGAGATGCCGTTCTGGAGGAGCGTTAACGCTGCTACCAAACCAGCTGGCCCAGCGCCGACCTATGAAAGAGGAATTTAGCTGAAGCGCAACCTTCCGTGATATGCAGTTCACTTACGACTAGCACAGGAGGACGAGTGGAATCCATGTGTAGAGTGCAGAGGTTTTTGGATCAGAATAACAGATAGTTGCATCTTATAACATAGGGGACGACCGATCAAAACGGATGGGCGGCGCGCGAGAGGATACGTAACCGTAGGTAACCATGTACCCTCAAAGAATTTCGTATCTCGTATCAGCGCCCTGATAGAAAGGACTCGCCGACGTTACATGTCCCATCGGATGATTTGTCAAAATGCTCACCAAATACTCCGCGATGTCGACTCGACGGTTGCGGACGTACTGCGGCACACTGTGACTTTGATGGCGATGTATGCGGACGTCGGGCCCCTGGTCCATACAGTCGTTTGCATGACTTGCTTGACAAGGTTTCTGGAACCCCCATAATTCCTCTTCCCACCTTCCCGGCAACTTCCATAAAAGTCTTCACCTGCAGCACCGCCACCACCACCGACTGCAACAAACACCTAATTAAGTTTATGATGTCATTGGGTGATTATGGATCCATAGGCAAAATGATGCAGAATAGATAGAACCAAATGTATCTCGGTTGACTATACAAGCAACAGTGAGGCGTGTTGAGTACGAAAACCGAACTTGATTATGTAAGTAAATAGTCACGTGTGACAATAACTGTTATCATCATTTGTACTAACTTCCAACACTCCCTCTCAAACGACAACTTGAAGACCTAACTCGTAAGCAACGTGCTTTGCCTTGACGCTCGGAAGGGCCTTCATTAGCGTGTTAGTGCCATATTCTTCGTGGGGCAGTACACCAGTTGGATCGAGCCATCCTCGACGCAGAAGCGGATGTAGGGGTAGTGCATATCAATATATTTGGCGCGTGCATGATAAATTCCGTCTTTCGTTAGTGTAATTGCTAACTAGTTGTCGCTGTATAGCGTCGTAGGGTGCTGTCATGACTGGAAGACCTCCACGATGAAACGGTAAAGCCATTGAGTTTCCTTGGCTGCGTGAGTGGCCGCTACGAATTCTAACTCTGCTGTTGGTAGCGTCACTAACTCTTGCTTCTGCGTGCCCCACAATACTGCGCCGCCATCCACAAAAATACAAATCCAGTCTATCCTCTTGACTGGCGCCATCAGCGTCGGTATAGCCGACTAACCCGGTGCGCTCATCCCATACGTGAGTCCTGACTTGTCCCCAACAGATAGCGATAGATTTTCTTGACTCCTTCCCAGTGTATCTACCCTGGCTCGTTTGCGAACTGTGCCGTTCTGTGACGGCATTGGAGAACAATAAGTAGCCATGGAACAAGGAGCAGATCGTGATGCCATCATGCAGTACATTGGCACCTTGTCCTCCTCGCAGCACAACAGCCATGCATCAAAATCGTTACGTGGACCTCAAGTTCGATTAATCGCAATGGTTGGCCGACGCCCCACAGGAACTTCCCTAACAGTCCCTAACACACTAAGGCTGTGTTTTCTAGCCCCGCGGAGTAGAATCTGGGATTACAACTCGTGACACTTGTGTGATACATCAGGATACATCCTTGCCGGAGTTTGAACTGACGCTGTAAACTTTGAAAACGGAAAAGGTTGCGCATAACCAGGGGTAGATAGCAACCTAGACTAGCTGGAAGTTGCATTGAACATATACAATTGCGGCACATCCTATGAGGTGGCCGGGATCCCATCACGAATGCCATGACTTTCTGGCCATGCAGGACCCAGGAATATCCGATCAATGAGACATAAAGCACGCACTACAGGTTGTGAATCCTTAACACTGAGGTGGCTTATTGGTATCAGTAAGCCCACCAGAGCCGACCCCTATCATCATCATTAGATATCGCGGGGTGATGTCGGCAGCAAACACGACGAACCTCCATCCACACTGCTGTTAATGGTTGTTCCTGTCAGTTCCGAATCAAATGATACCACACTGTGGTTGTAAACATTATAATGATTAAGGACGACTGTGCAGGTAGAGCAAGGGGACGGCGGTCTGTATGAGGTTGACGCTCTGACTGAGGTATTAAGAAGCCTCTTAGGTGGTGCCATGGGCGACAACTTAGAAACACACTGGTTCGATCATCTTCTTCATCTTCTTCGCCGGAGTTCGCGAATTGATTCAGCGTCGCAAGGACTTCGTCGGCTTCTGATTCAGTATGTACATCCACACTGAAGCCTTGGATGGTTGCATTTGGAGGAAGATCTCTGACTAATTCACTGTGTGAAATAAGACGCAGAGAAAGAAGCTGCACCAACCTGAAATATTGCCTTGATGCAAAGGAGTTTAGTGCTCTCCCATAAAATGTAGAGAGTATGCGTACCATCTACCACATCACGCGGACTCTCCTCACAAACAGAGACATCACCTTCTGCAGAGCCTCTGGGACCTGAAGCCGACCAACAGATTGACGTCAGCAAGAAGAAATTGATCTTTCAGTATGATATACCGAGGATGTCATGCGTATCCGGCAGCAATCGTCGAACTAGGTCTTCCGAAGTTCTCTGTGCTGCTATTTAGCTGCAACCTAAGATGCGACTAGTCACCTTACTTTGATAGCCTTAAAATTCCGATACGTGATCTTATAAAAGTGCTTGGCATCCGATCGGACAAAAAGATTAATAAGGAACCGGCGAAAAGATTTCTTCTGCCCTAAAAGTTGGTCCCTGAGACGCACCAAGCTGTGGATAATGAATGGATAAGGAATGAGGAATGCTATCAGGCTGGTGAAAGCGGAACCTACTCGTCATATTGAGCCCGATTAATGATGTACGCTTCGTGGTACGCTTGTTTCTCGCTGTCTGGGAGTTGTGGGGATTCCAACAATTTAGCAAGCTCTTTCAAGGCTACCAGCGATAATTGTAGATAGTGGTCGCCCTTTTCTTCAGCTGTCTGGCCTTTAAGCTCGATAACGGTCCCAGGCAAGTTCGTATATTGACTTGCAAGACCTAGGTCCGCGGTTATGCGAACTCTCGTGCTAGATTTGGGGGGATTCATGTGTGAGTGTCGAAAATGATCAGGAGCTGGTGTAAAGTTTCGCGCCAACTTGAACTGGCCTGATTATATACAGACGATTGTGAGACCAGTAAAAAAGGACAAGGACAGAGTTCAAGGAGACGCCAACCTGATATATGTGACACTGATAAGTCCCAGCTCCCGGAAAGATTATGGGATGATTATGGTTACTGATTAGACAAAAATGACTACTTAGCCTTGACTTGGCCTAGCAAATCATGTAATCCCCGGGGAACTGCGAAAAAGCGATGTAATAGAATTTCCCATCCCTCGGATGGAAGCTTCCTATCACGGTACTTTGCAAAGAATACTAAGTAGTAAGTACTGTCACGGCTGAGTGTACTTAACTTACAATCGTGCTTTACGTACATAGCTAAGAAGAGTAATTCTCTATTAATAAGTCCGCGAAGCCGGAGTTCGAAGTTATTTACCCGTGCGGCAAGTGTACATGTGTTCTCAGGGTTCGCGTCCTGCCTTTAATTCGCACCACGCCCAGGCAATTTTTTGAAGATGACCTCAATATCTGCAGCTCAGTCCCATCTCACTGAAAATGAGATTTGGTGGAGGGACCACTACAATTTCCTCAACGAAAAGGGCTACAAGCTACGGAATCGCTACAGTCCGGACTGGGTGCCCTCTTGGGCGAACACAAACAAAGCTTCCATAAATTGCGAGGATGGAGTCAGGTCGCCGGTAGGTGCTGTATACCTTGTCACTAGTGTTTCTCATTCGCCATATATCCTCCAGCACTATCGCCTGCTGGATGCACAGCGTACTCGTGATGGCGTTCGTGTGTCACTGAAATCTATAGTCATATCGCGACACCCTTACGAGATAGAGATTGGTCGGTTTTTCTGTACCTCGCCTCTCAGCGAAGATCCAGCCAACCATTGCGTGCCAATTTACGATGTTCTGGAGGTGCCCACCAATGGCGATCTTGCAATAATTGTCATGCCGTTACTTCGAGATGCTACGGAACCCTATTTTGACTCGGTCGGTGAAGTTGTAGATTGCATCCACCAGCTTTTTGAGGTAAGGTTTTGATTGACTGGTTCATTATGTCTTATTCCTTCCTTCCTTTCTTTATTTTGAAGGGGCTGCGCTTCATGCACAGACATCACGTCGCTCACCGGTACGTATTCAATTGCTGTAGTGACTTGCCTCATGACCTGGCCATAGGGACTGCATGGAGCTGAATATACTGATGGATGGCAGCATGTCCATAGATGCATGGCATCCAAGCGACCAGTATATGTCTGAAGACTACAAACGCGTGGCCAGGCATCGTACACGCACACAGTCTCCTCCACGGTACTACTACATAGACTTTGGTATCTCCCGCAAATATGAGGCGTCAAACACCAACCCATTAGAAGTACCCATATTCGGTGGGGATAAAGAAGTGCCGGAATTCAAGGAAGACAACTATAAACCCCGGAACCCTTTCCAACTGACGTTTGGTATCTTGGACATGCTATTCAAGAAATATTTCTTGATGTAAAGTGCAATAACGACTTCTCATCTTGCATACTCTGATTTTAACGCAACAGCACTACTCAGGTGTAGAATTTCTGAGTGATTTATTATCGGACATGATGCACTTGGATCCAGCACAACGTCCGAATATGGACGAAGTTTTTTCTCGATTCCAAGTTCTGCGTCAGGGCATCAGTAAATGGAAATTACGTTCCCGGGTGGCTCATCATGACGATAGTTCTCTTTTTGATCTTCTAGCCCACTGGGCACGTCGCATTCAGTACATAGTACGCAGGATTCCACCAACCCATACCTCGTTGTCATAGAGTAGACTTTTTTGTAACTGGTCTCCTATAATGCACGAGTTTTCTGCCATTAAACAGCTATCTTCATATCGATTGGCCAGAATCTAGAAATTTTACTTAGCCGCTTTCGTTTTCCAAGACCTAGAAAACTGGACATTCTGAAATCTACGCAAACATACGTAAATCGTAGATTTGCGCGGCGACATATTTCCGTAGAAAATGGGATACATACTTAGGAGTTTACTTGGTAACTACCTTGATTATATTATGCGAATGAGTTGTGATGAGAGGATACAAATGGAAAAAACAGCCCACTACACCACGCTTAAAAATATTCCCGAGAAATACTTCTTCACCCCTTCTACACCATGTACGATCGCCCCAATCACCCCGTCTGGCCGTATCACAAACACTTTCGTCTGATCAGCTTCCACGAGGTAAGCTGAACAAGCATGGCCCTCCTGACCGATAAGAACGAGGTCAGCAGGAGATGCGACAGCGACGCCTGTTGCAGATGAAGGCAGAACGACTGCCGATCGCACAACGCTTCTGGCGTATGCCTCCAGTGCACCCAAGATTGGGGTAGCGCCTGCGAGACCCGACGCGAACACAAGTACTATGTGATACGACGGTCTGTAAAGACCAAAAAGCGTCTTCACAACAGACTCTCCGCACCCCACCTGCAACATATTCGGTGCATCAGGCGCCCTGTCTCCAGCCTCCAGATTCCCCTCGTCAAGCACCCCGTAGGCATTAATAGGCTTTCCTGGAATTGCAAATTCATCGAGGACGATGTTACTGAACCGGCAATTGATACCAAGCATGAAAAGGATGGGACTTCGTTGGGAGACCATGTTTTCTGTCTTTAGTACCTGGTTGAAAATCGTGGTGGTCCTCTCGAGCATCTCGGAGACAAGAGACAAACGCTCGGCATTATACGTCTCGAGAAGAGACTTGTCGGCGAGCCCTTTTTCGACGAGTGCAAGTTTCCAACCTAAATCGAACTGGTGTACAATCAGTAATGTCATACATGCTGCATCTGCAAGACTTACAGCATCTTGTATACCTGAATTAAGTCCCTGTTCGTGGATAAATGAGTATGCACCGGCATTTGATTAGAGCGCACGCACCTGACCACCAGCTGGACTTTGAACACTGGAAATATATAAAAATCAGTTTGGCAAGAAGGCACTCAAATATAGACATACTGAGCAGCATCTACGTAAACTTTCATCAGTACAGGTGCATGATTCATAAGTAGAACAGCATACCACCCACAACAAATCCTCGGCCCTCGCTAAGCTTGTTTACCATGCGGATATTGGCCCTAAAGTAAACCGATGAACATTGAAAACGCATCGACGTCACAAAATGAAACACACCTGTACTCGCTCACCCAGACGACTTTGTTGAACGTAACCACCGTTGGTAACAACGGTGCGATGATCTCCATGATTAACTTCTCACTCTGAGCGAGCTTTGTCAGGTCAACATCGGGAGCAGAGATCATAAATTGCCAGCCATCCTCGCCAATTTCGTCTGTTGGACACAATAAAACACTACCCAGCGTCAATATACATCTTTCTTCAAGTCCCAAGAGCAGAAATTGGACGCACCGTTCTATCAAGACCAACGCCATGTAAACGAATATCTCCCATGACCATTCGAACATTGTCTCTAGTCTCGCCCAAGAATGTAAGCCCAAGCTGTTTACGCACGACACCTACAAGCCACAATTCAGATTCATCCTACTGCATTTGAAATTGATCGCATCTAACTTTTAGCACCGTCAGCGCCGATCACCCACTTAGCATCGAAGGTCTCTAATGTGCCGTTCTTTGCCAGAACAGCTGTGACACCTTCGTCGGACAGCTCAAACGAACGCAGTTCGGTGCCCATCTCGACAGAGCACGAGAATTTTTCAAGGTGGCGTCGCAGAATCACATCTAGTAGTTGTTGACCTATCAGCTTTGGAACGTGCTGCAATATAAAAAAATCACCAGCATGTGTGCTTGAAAAGACAGCGGGTCTGAATAGTACGTACGAATGGTATCGTAGAAGTAGGTTCTATAGACGGGGTCATCGAAAATTCCGTTAGAGGTTCCAACGTCCAGAGCTTGTATGTACGCATTATGGGGGAGGGTTTCCCCAGGTCGTTGACTTCTGGGACGTCTAGAAAGTTGAAGAGTTCGAGGGAGCGTGGCTAGATCATGCATTAAATGAGACCACAGGGCATCAGAGAAGTGGTATCATGACAAACCCAGATTCCAGGACCACGCTGTCCCATGCGAGGATTGGAATCTTTATCGATGATGCGAACCGGGATGCCGTTCTGGAGAAGTGTTAACGCTGATACCAAACCAGCTGGCCCAGCGCCTACCTAAGAAAGAGGAATTTAGCTGAAGCGCAACCTTCCATGGTAGGCAGTTCACTTACGACTAGCACAGGAGGACGAGTGGGATTCATGTGTAGAGTGCAGAGGTTTTTGGATCAGAATGACAGACAGTCGCATCTTATAACATAGGGGACGACCGATCAAAACGGATGGGCGGCGCACGCAACCAAAGGTAACCCTGTGCCCTCCGAGAACTGTGTATCCTGTATCAGGATAGAAAGGAGTTGCATGTCCCCATCAAATGATTAGTCAAAACGCTCACCAAATACTCCGTGATGTCGACGAGACGGTTGCGGACACACTGCCACTAGGTGACTTTGATGGCGATACGCGAGGGTATGCGTGTCCCTTGCATAAGTTCGGCTTGTTCATGGTTCGGGTGCCGGGTGACGGGACCAAGTGAAAATGATGCGGTTCTGCCGGCCCGCCTGACCTGGCTTATGTGATGCGGCACCGTCACACATTCTAGGGTACAGATCCGAGTCATTTCAAACACCATGTCGCTCGAAATGAATTCCAAACACTTTAGAGATATCCATCTGCGTACAGGCCCTGGAGTGCTGCATTCACCGCCCACCAATTTTGCGGTGCTTGTCCTCCGTATTCCAAGTCATACTACATGCTTGGGAATGCTGTGCACGTGTGCATCTTGTGTTTGTATTGTATTGCCTCTAATCATTGATCTAATGTTTGTTTTCAGACAGCAATGTGAAGTATTGTTCCACTGTGTCAAGCCTTGACCCCACCTTGTCAAGTTTGATACAGCCTCTGTACTACCACGTCAAGCCCCAACTATGCCATATCCGAAGGCTTCGGTCAGACTGGGTCAAGCACTACTCATACCTCGACAAGGTCCCCCCAACATCTTCGCATGCCGCGTCACAGGCGCGCCAAGCTCAATACATGATCGACATCGTAAGCAGGTTTCCCGCCCTCCCAGCAGCTCCACCTGCTTGCGTCCCACCCCCGAGCTAACGCTCGGACCAGCCCAACACAACTTTCAGATCGTGTCACCGACTCTAGCAGAAGTCAGACAAAGCCGGAATCAATTGCACTTGCCGTAGGGTTGAGTAAGACCAATTTATTTGATTTATGACTGCTACAGTTATGAGTTCATTTCGAGTGTTCGATCGTCGAAGGCTGATCACTAACTGGAGTTATCAGGCCGTATTTTGTACCTCCTAGAAGTTGGATGAATGTGGGCGTAACTGCAGTACCGGGCGGTGAGCTACGAAGTTGCGAGATCTCAGTGATATTGACTTTGCTGAAACATCATGCAGGTCATAATGCTAACTCCGTTATATGCCATGTATCAGCAATTGAGCAAGGTGCTGAAATTTCTGTCGTGAGATTCCTGCCAGTCAACATCACCAAAAGTACAGCACTAGCTGGTGAGTGATATTGTAAAGCAATCTTTGGGGCGTATGCAAATTTGGTCGTCTCGTTGTCGGTCGCGGGCATGAATGACGCTACCGTGCTTGTTAGCGCGAAGACGCTTTCGAAGTTGACTATGTCTTTCACAAGTAGGGTTGTTGCAGAGCACGTTGCTTCTGAAGCTGTGAAACCACTTAGCATATGACTGAAGTACTTACAAAGAATTGGTCTTGAGCATCGGAAGCCTCATTGGCTAGACAGCCGAACGGGTTGCTGTTGTGCCAAGGATGTGCAGGGGATGCAGTCTGTAAGGTATTGTTTAGACTCCAACCAAATGACGTTGGGGAGAGAAATCATGATTACGCTTTATCGAACAAAACATGGTCAATGTCATGATGATTGGCACCAGAAGTTTATCGAGCAGTGTCGCATCACTTCACCCCTCCATTCTATGATACCTCGGCTTACTTTGTCTCCGTCAAACAGCGCGCCAGTCTCTTCAAGATCACAACCTAAGAACACTACGTCCACGACAGCTCGACGGGGCAAAGAGACAACAATGTCCTCTGCTATAAACACCTCCACGTTGAACGAGGTACTATACGGAAACAAAATGTCAACTGACGACACAAACGAAATCTGACGACTCACAAACTTCTACCCTATGAGAATCAATGCCAACGGATCGACGAACAAGTTATAAGCATTGGTCGAGTAGACAGTAAAGTTCTGGACGCAACGTTAGATAGCTCTCAGGGACACAACGAAAGCGACTGGCCATGATTGAAGCCCCTTGGCACGAATATTATATTGCGTAATGGTGGTGTCACAATAGCCGACAGGCTGATTTATACCGTAAGTACTTGTTAGCAGGTCTCGTGGGACGCCATCACACACTGAGTCATTTGGACTCGTTATCTTTGAAACACCTGGGGCCCTGTGAGTCTACGGTTTCTATATGCCTACCGGAGCTATGAGAATGAGTGAAGCTGTGGACAAGCTTATCAATTGCCTGAGATAACACGAACGCCAGATAACCGTGGGCCCACCTCGGCTTCGCGTTTCGAAGAGGATAGAATTCTACCACACCACCAGTTGCACATGGGAGCTAGCAATCACCGGACGACAGAGAAAGTCATCTGACATGCAAATGATATCTGTTTGAGCCCACGCGCGTCATTCGTTTTTGCATGATGGAGGAATGGTCGGCCGTGCAGGGTGCAGCTTCCCTGAAGGGATTAACAATCTATATTACGTAGTTCCATTTCGAGAAAGTCTTGGTCACGCGACTGTGACAGACCACATTTACGCGCCGTTGAACGCCGGCGCGAGATCCCACCTCTTGCAATTGAGCATGGGTGATCCAAACTTCCAAAAGCCATGTACGCTGGACCTGTCAGCACTGGACAGATGGTAATTTTTCTAACCGCATTAGAATTCTGGGTCGCTCCTTATTTTTGGCGTTACGTACATGCATGTTGAAAACGCACATGATCCCCAGCTGTGACTTTTATAAACAGCTGCAGTTGAACCGGTCGCGTCTTTGACCCGCACATCTTGATTCATGGCCTTTTCTCGCCACATATTCATCCTGGCGCTTGTCGCAGGATGCCTCCTCCCTTCTGGTGTCCAGGCTCTCTGGCCTATCCCAACTACTCTCGAGACCGGGATGACCGCCCTCAAAATCTCCCCCTCATTCTCCTTTGACGTGCAGATTGAAGACGCGCCGTCGGATTTACTTGACGCGGTTGCGGAATCACAGTACTATCTCGAAAATGATAAACTTGGACGTCTCGTCGTAGGCCGCGGGGCGAATGACACTACTGCGCTTGCTAGCGCGATGACGCTTTCAAACTTGACGCTGTCTCTCACCAGTGGGGCTACTGTAGATTCCATTTCTTCTGAAGCTATCAAGCCCCTTGGAACCCGTAGTGAGGAGTACGCACTGACGATTCCAGCAGACGGCTCGGCTGCTACTTTGACCGCAAACTCGACGTTGGGTCTGTACAGAGGTCTCACTACTTTCAATCAGCTTTTCTACTACTATGGAGGAGTAATTTACACTTTAATTGCCCCGATCGCTATCACGGACACTCCTGCATATGTGAGCAGCTATTGTTCACACTTTGATGTCAGGTGTATGAACCCATATACACAGCCTTTCCGAGGATTGACACTGGATACCTCGAGGAACTACTATCCGGTCAGTGATCTTCTACGAACTTTGGACGCGATGAGCTGGGTCAAGGTGAGTGCTTTCCTAGTATCTTGTCTTTTCATCTCTCACGAGCTAGACAGATCAACACTTTCCACTGGCATATCACGGACAGTCAGAGTTTTCCGCTTGAAGTTGTACAGTACCCCGAGATTACTATCAACGGTGCATACTCTCCTCAAGAAGTTTACACAGCGAGTGATGTCCAATACATCGTGCAGTATGCTGCTGCAGTACGTTCTTCCATTTATCACGGTCTGTTGTTCGCTGATGCTCTTCCCGCAGAGAGGTATCGATGTTTTGATGGTCAGTACCCATCAGTCAATTTCGATCATAAACACTCAATATTCTACCAGGAAATCGATACACCCGGCCACACCGCTATCATTGGGGCTACTTACCCCGAATATGTTGCGTGCTTCGACGCTGCTCCGTGGGCAGACTTTGCCAACGAGCCCCCTGCCGGCCAGCTTCGTTTTGCACTCCCAGAGGTCATGAACTTCACTGCTTCCTTGCTCAGCGATGTCGCAAAGACCCTGCCTTCGTCCTACTTCAGCACCGGCGGTGATGAACTTAACACGAACTGTTATACCGACGACTACCCCACGCAGCAGCAGCTCAACAGCACCGGAACGACGCTGAACGATGCTCTTGACACGTTCACACAGTCCACTCACGGTGCGCTGATTGCCCAGGGAAAGACACCTGTCGTATGGGAAGGTACGCGCTGTGTTTCTTCCTTTGAATGACGGTATTGAATGGGGACGGTCATTCAGAAATGGTCCTCGACTGGAATATTACGCTTTCAAACGAGACTATTGTGATGTAAGTAAGACGATATCATGACCCGACTCCGCTGATTCAACTGTGTTGAAAGGATTTGGATTTCTTCTGCAGATGCTGCAGCGGTGGTAGAAAAGGGTTTCAGGATCATCCAAGCACCATCAAATTACTTCTACCTGGTTAGTTGACGAGTTCTTCTACAGAACACAATGTTCTTATTATCATAGGACTGTGGTGCTGGTGAATGGTTGGGAGACGACCCAACTGGGTTAGTCTTTATATTGCTGAATGTACTCGATCTGAACTGACATGCTTTGGGAGAACAGAAATAGCTGGTGCGACCCCTTCAAGACCTGGTCCGAGGTTAGTATGATTGTTTAGGACAGCCACGCGTCTCATGATTTTTCGTTAGTCATATACCTTTGATCCGTTGGCAAACTTGACCGAGGCGCAGTACGGACTTGTTCTCGGAGGTAAATACAATCTTTTATCCAGGTTAAATTGACCTTTCTGAGCAATCCACAGGCGAGCAATGTCTATGGAGTGAGCAGTCTGGTCCCCAAAACGTCGACCCGATTGTGTGGCCACGTGCTGCATCATCAGCAGAAATTTTCTGGAGTGCTAAGCAGCCCACTGGCGCTGCACTCAACGTCACCGAGGCACTTCCTCGTTTGCATGTGAGTAGTGCTTCTTGATGTG